TTCCTTCCCAAAAAACATTTCTGCAGACATATTTGGGGAGCATACTTATATTCCTTTCTGGGGAGACCCATGGGTGGGAGGCGACTTACCCCTAAGACTTTTGGCTCTCCCTTCAGGAAATCCAGCAGAGAGCTATGAGGTCCATAGGGAAGTGCAGTCAGTACAGTTTCATTTGGTTGTAAAGTGAAGACGTGGGTCGATCTTTTGACCCCAGATGATGACTCCATGATTCAATGGCAAAGCTCTATTAAATGAATGAGTGAGTAAACATTGCAGTCAAAATCATGGTCTTCCATCAGCCTCATGTGGAGTCCTTAGCAATGAGCCTTTAGCAATTACTCAGTGCTAGAACCACAGAGTCACAGTCATTGCGTCATAAAGTCTTAGAATTCTCGAGCGTGTTCTTCTGTCTTTCTGTTGAAGGATCCAGCTGTCCAAAAGACTTGCTTTCTTGTCAATTTATTTATAAACAAGATTGTAAACACAACATAAATTTCTGGTATACCAGCAAATCCCAGTGTCTGTGTTCATCGATATAAAGGAACTGAGGTTATGGGCCATCCACTCTGTTCCAGGCGCTGTGGAAGGTGTTTCGTTTTAACACGCAGTAGCGTTTTTTCTTTTCACAATTCTACGGTGCTGAAATCATGGTACAGAAAGGTTAAGCTGCCCAAGGTCACATACCAATGGATGCGAAGGAGTCAAACTCTGCGTGTCTGTCTGCAGAATCTGTGTTGTTTCTATTTGACTATGACGCCACCCTCTTTTGAAAGGAGTCCCACTTGTAGTTATTGCCTGACTTATTTATTGCCTAACCACGTTCTTCTGTAGCATAAAAATCAGTAGCTAAAAAGGTACAGGACCAGAAGTCACTGCCACTTTAAAAGAGCGTATTTTAGCTTTCAGAAAGACAAGTAAAACCAATTCCATTCGGGGTCTTCCTGGTTTAAACTAGGCAAATACAGTTAAAACAACAAAAAATGCCTTTTTGGAATTTTGTTTCCATGTTAATCCATTATATTCGTACATTTGTTACGATTTTAATTAAATCATAAAGTAAATAGCTTCACAAAACCAAAAGAAACAGTGCAAATATTATCTTGAGTCTTTCCTAATTTGTGGCAACCATGCACAGCAGTGTTTCTCAACCTGGATGCTGCTGGCCATTTGGGGCCCTAAGAATCTTTGCTTACAGGGAGTTGTTCTGTGCACTGTGGGGTATTTGGCAGCATCTCTGGCCTCTACTCACTAGATGCTAGCAGCACATCCCCTGCTGTGACAGCCAAAATTATCTCCAGACATTGCCATATGTCCACTAGGGGGCAGAACCATTCCAAGTTGAGAACGAGAACCATTGATGGATAATTGCAGACGGTGTCCTGTTTTTTCCAAAAGGTGCCTCTTTTATTTTTCACATCCAAACTTTAGAGAAGGTATGTCTTTCTCTTTGTGTTTAAATTCTAAGCAGAAGTGATGGAGCATCAGAATCATGTAGAGGAGCTTTGAAAAGCCTGCTGTGTCCATCAAAGACAAGTGAGCCCGGGAGGGTGCTGACTCCAAGTGCAGCCACTTACTGCAAGCAAGACATCTGTTTGTTACCAACTATTGTGGTTATTTGGTGATCGAGGAATTACAATATTTTAAGCATTGTATAACCTGACATGTTCACTTACTACTAAATAGATATTTTACTGCCTTTTACTTACATTTTAGGAAATTGGGTGGGAGTTTGCTTTGACTAATAACATAATTTCCTCCCTTTAAAGTGATGGGCAACAGCTATCTTCATGCAGAGTTCTTAATTTTTATGAATGGATTGCTGGTATTAAGCAGGAGAGCTTATAATTCTAATCTGCCTTGTTTATTTCAAAATGCGTCTCATTTTATCATTTCAATTAGGTTATAGTTGTCAGCCTCTGCCTTCTTCCTCCTGCTTCTGACTTTCAAGCTTCTTAAAGAATAAGTATTTCAGCCTATGGGCTCAGACCAGAAGGCAGGAGCTAGGCTATTCCATGGAGATGTGAAATGACAGAATCTTTTAGGGGCAACTTCAAGCAGGATAATATTCTTTGGGTGGTGATGGTATCCCTCTTGCTTTCAGCCCACAGAAGACCACCTTGAGTTGGGCAGTTACATTTAACACTTGGTTTGTGCCAGTACTGCTCTAAATAAAAAGAGGTATTTGCTCCCTCATTAAATTAATCCTTCTGCATGTATTACCGTGTCACCCTCCCAACAACCTTGGGAGGCAGGATCTATTATCATACCCATTTTAAAGATGAAGATAACCAAGGCCATGCTAACTGCTGGCCAGTGGTGCAGCTGAAAGGCGAACTTGGCTTTTCCTCTTCCATTTTCCACACAGCAGTTGAGTGTGTATTAGTTCTCTATCACTGTGTAGATACCACAGATTTATTGCCATAAAACAGCACACATTTATTATCTTAGAGTTTTTGTGGATCAGGAGTTGAGTCTTGGCTTAGTTGCTGCCTCTGCTCAGGGTCTCACCAGGCTGCAGTCAAGGTGCAGCCAGGCCATATTCTCATCTGGAGGCTCCACTGAGGAAACCCCACTTCGAAGCGTATTCAGGTGATTGACAGAATTTATTTTCTTGTGGTTGTATGACTAAGGGCCCTGCGTTTCACTGGCTGGAGGTTAGAGGCTGCCATCGGAAACAGAGGATGCCCTGAGTTCCTTGCCTCCTCAAGGTGGCTGTTTACTCACTGCATCAGGCCAGCAAGGAGAGTCATCCACCAAGTTGGCTAAGATCAGAGGAGGGACTGGAGAGTTCGTGATGAGGATCTGAGTATGTGTGGCTCAACCACTAATTTGGGGTTATGTTTTGGGGGAAGCTGCATTTTTTAAACATCAAGTGTGAAAACTCGGACTTCTACTTTGTCTGTTAAATGTGTGCAGTGTCTTCTTGGGCTTGATTGAAACTCTCCTCTCCTTCTCTTGCTGTGAGTTTATTCCTTCCTGTTAGTGGTTCTTGCCTAATTTGTTTCCCAAATTGAATGTGGTAGCAAAGCAAAGGAAGGAGTCAAAAATGCCTCCTAAATTTCTGACTTCAGAAACTGAATAGATGGTCATGCCATTTTTGAAAGGCAAATGGACTGGGGTGAGGGGTGCCAGGAGAGGTCCAAGTGAAAGACGGAATGTCCTTACCATACCTTCCATCAGTTTGGAATGTTATTCCAGGTAATTCTGAATATAATTCTCCAGATATTCTGAAGAAGTTTTTATTAGTAGCAGAAAACAAATGAATAAGAAACAGATCTTGGATAAAATAAAATTTTATTAAATGGCGATGCTTGGCTTATAGGATAAAGAGGGCTCTCAAAGGTCCTCCACCCTCAGTTTAAAATATTCACACACACACACACACACACACATGCGCGCGCGCGCGCTCGTGATTGAAAATACTCAAGTAGAAGCTGAAAACCTCAGGAGGGAATATTAAGTGAGTACTTTAATGTAGTTAACAGACCAGTGCGGGTAGACACAGAACTAACAAACAAATAAAGCAAGTAGTATGTCAGATGGTAAGTGCCATAGAGAAAATTAAGCAAATGAAGGGGAAAGAAGGTGGTGATTTTATATAGGTTGGTGGGGGAAATTTTCCTTGAGGCTGAGAAGTTTGAAGAAAAGACCTGAAAGAAGTGAGCAAGCAAGCAATGGAAATAATTGCAAGAAAAGCATTCCAGGTAGAGGGGTCTGGAAGTGTAAAACTCCTGAAGAAAGACTATGCCAGGTGACATCAAAAGCCGATGTGACCGGAGTAGAGGGAGCAAGGAGGAGAGGAGTGGAGAGAGTAGAGAGGAAGTGAGAATTCAGATCCTGTAAGGACATTTGAGGACGCTGTCTTTTATTTTTAATGAAATGGAATGGATTTGAGTAGAAGAATGACATGATCTGATTTTAGGCTTAAAAACAATCCCGACTGTCTGCTCCATGGAGAACAGACTGAGGGTGTGGATGCCAGGTTGGTTGATCACTGTAGGAATGCCAGTGGACAATGAGTCCTCATGAGATGGTGAGAAGTAATCAGACTCTGGATATTCTGAAGCTAGGACTAGCAGGTTTTGATGATAGGTTAGATAGGGCGTGGAAAAGAAATAGAAGGGTAAAAGATGACTCCAAGGTTTTGAGGAGATGATTTTTTTTGGAAGGAATTTGACTACGGAGAAGAAGTAAGAGATGGCTCGATAACTAGACAAACGCAAGAGCTAAAAAGTAACTTTAAAAAAATTTTTTTAAATTCAATTTTGACATAGAAACAAGAGAGCACAAATCATATAAAAACAGCACCAGACTCTAGATCAAGAAAAAGAACATCTCCAGGAACCCATAGGCCCTCTGGGTCCCCTTCCAAAGATTATCCTCAAAGGTAACCACTGTCCTAACACTATATATTAGTTTTGCTTGTGTTTAAACTTCATGTACATGGAATCATATGTACATATGTACAGTGTGCATTCTGTTATACGTGGCTTTTTTGCTCCTAAACATCATGTTGTAGGATTTATCTATATGGCTGCATGTAATTGTTTGTTCACCTGCACTGGTGGATCATACTCCACTGTCTGAATATACCACAATTTTTATTTGTCTCTTCTGCTCTTTGGCATTTGGATAGTTTCCTCTTAGGGGCTATTATGTGCATTACTTCTATGACCATTTTTGTACACGCCATTTGGAAAACATACATATGCATTTCTGTTGCACATTCTCTTCTGGGATAGGACTCAAGGCCTAGACTAGGGGGCAGTATTAGGAACCTCTTTATTGGGTAGGTCATGTTGTTTACTCCAGTACAGTAATAAAGTTGATTTTATTTCTACATATCTAACTTCTTATTTGGTCTAGAACTTAGATAAGAAAGAGCCTCAAATTATGATCTTTGAATCCAGAAATTTAATAATGAAGTCATTAAATGAGACAGAATATTGAGCCATATTCAATTGACAGAAACTAAAATCATTCAATTAACAGAAATTGAGTCATATTTTAAAAGTATGTTTAATTGCAATGTTCTTACAATTGGTAATGTGTAATATTTAAGTGTTATGAATATGAAAACAATGCAGAAACGGGCCTGCAGAGCCACATGACTTAGAGTGCACATTTTGAATCTTTTCATCCATGGGGAGATGCACACTTTCTGTTCAGTTTACCCAGAGAAGTTTGTAAAGTTTATAGCCATTTTGGAAGACTGGAAGTTTCTTACAGTGCTAAAGTAGCTGAAATTTCAGGAGAATCTAATCACACTTTGCTGTGAGCACTGGGTTTCTCCTCCTTTTTCCTCTGAGGCCAAGAGTTACTTATATCCATGACTTTGAACTCTTTTTGACATGTTGAATATGATCTTGTGACTGAGGTAAGAAAAAGTCACCCTAGAGAAGATAAAATTTGTTAACAGTTTTTTTAAACTCTAATTTTGGAGTCTTTTTTGGATATGAAGTTATAATGCATTCCCCCCAAATGTTGTACAGTAGTAACTCTTCCAATTTCACCACAATATATAATTCCATCAATATTAGTTCAAACAAATGCCATTCTCCAGTCTGCTAATCATTTTGCCATTTTCTAATAAGACTGTAACTGAATCATAATTTATTCGGAAAGTTTAAAACTTTTCCTTTTCTTTCTTTCTTCGTTTCTTTTCTTTAATTTTCCTGTAGCTTTTAGAGGAAAGGAATGTATTTTGAAGTTGTAATATCAAGACTTAAGAGGAAGTCAGGAAAAACACAGGAAAGCAAAATCGGAACAGAGATGTGCTAGCAAAATCTCATCCCATTAGCAAGGGGACTGGGCTGTGAAGACTCTCTAGGGAGTCAGGTGGCTGTGTTTAAGACAAGAGTGAGAAGATGCAAGTTTTCATTCTCAGCCCAGTCAGTCTGTATCATTCATGCTCTGTGTGATTTTGCCCAAGCTTTGGTTCTTTTGTAAGGGGCTGGGCAGGGTGACTTCTAAAGCCATCTAGCTTCATGTTAAACAATCCCCTACCCGGCTTGCTGCCCAGTAGGCACCAGCTGATCTCAGATGACCAGAGTGTCATCATGAAGGAGTGTATTCACAGAGCTCTTTTCTCACAAGGAAAGTCACCTTCTGTATGTAGCTCATGGTCGGTCATCGACTCCTCTTTCTGCCGCTTTGTAGACCTGGATCATTATAGCTCGAACTTCTTGGGAACCAGAGACATCATGTGACATGTCAGCATACTCACCCCAAGGTTATTGGAGCAGACTTGTTTCCACCAAAAGACAGAAGCGTATGTAGCTAGTAAGAGCTCCAGCACCGTGAAGATGAGCATCACCATCAGCCCACCCTGTAAATCAGGACAGGAATGGTTGGTGCCATTAGCCTTCTCTTGTGCCTGACTGAGAGAAGACCTGGGCGGGGGGAGGGGTCAGGGCTCTAGCAGTGGAGAGAATAGGGAACAGAGAAAATTGCTTCATTCTCTTTTCTACTTTTTCTTTTGGATCTCTTAACTGAAGAAGGGAAATAAATAGCAATGATTTCATCTCAGGACCTCAGTATTCCACATTCGGAGATAAGAGCAAGCCTTCATTTCTCTCTAGTTGCTTTTATTATTTTCTTTTTCCTTTCCCTTGTACACTCTCTCTCCCCCGTGCCGTCCTGCTGGCATGTGTGCCAAATCTTTTTATTTCTCTGTGTCCTCCAAGTCTTTTAACCTCTCATTCACATTTTCCAAATTTTTAATCTTAGTATATTGTGTTCGGTGTGATTTAATCAGACCAGAATTTCATTGCACTGTTTATTCCTTTGGATACGTTGAATCTGTTCTTTAATTGATGCTGAGTTTTTAATTTCAAAGATTATAATTTTCATTTCTCATCATACTATTTAGCACTTTTTTCAAACCCACTTGTTCTTTTGTCTTATTGTCAAGTTCTTATCATTTTGGTTTCAATTCCTTTTTAATAACTTTAATCATTTAAAATGTATTTTTCATGATAGCTTTTTTTCCCCAAACTATTATGTAATCTCCAATTCTTGAGCCACTAACTTTCATGTCTATTCCATTGGCTGCTATTCCCCATTTTTTCCTTATGTTTTTCAGAATATTTTATTCTTAGGTAATTTCAGTGTGTGGGTGGTAGCAGTGGTGGTGGGGATTCTCTGATATGTAGGAGACTCATAAGTTGGATTTATGGACATCTCTGTAGATGGTAGTTTTAGGTTTGATTCTGATAGAACCTTCGGAGTTCCACAGATCTAGGAACAATTTCAAGTTAATCCTTTTATTTGAGGTTCCTCTATTTTATCTGTAATGTTGGATTTGGGGACCATACCTGCATAAGGCTTGGTGAGATGATTTCATCTTAGAAGCCTTTATGGCGGAGTTTCTTGAAGCTTCCTGGGAGGTAGTTACAGGGTTTTTCCCTTGTCTCATTTTCATAAATAGGGTAAATACTTAGTCTCAGCTGCTAACATGTTTGCTGGGCATCAGTATGAGCTCCCTGTGTCCTGTGGGCCTGAAGAACCTCATGTCCCATCATGAGCATTAAAATTCAGTGGTCCCAGCCTCTCACACCTATGTTCTTATTCAGGCCTCCATGGTTTTCTGGTCTCTGCTCATTTGGTTACCTGGCCTTAGAATCCTTCTTAGTTTCTGAAATCTAATATGCCTTTCTTTCTTGATTTTTTTTTCCCTTCCTTTCTTCCACCCTCCCTTCCTTCCATCGTCCAACCTTGGGTATATATTTTTAATTTTTAAATCTGTTACGTTTCCCAGGTTATCTTTATGTTAATAAAGAGTGGACCCAGAGAAAGACAAATATCATATGATATCACTTATCTGTGGAATCTAAAAAGAGATACAAATTTTACTTACAAACCAGAAATAGACTCACGGACATAGAAAACAAACTATGGTTACCAAAGGGGAAAGTAGGGGGATGGATAAATTAAGATTTTGGGATAAACAGATACACACTGCTCTATATAAATAGATAAATAACAGGGACCTACTGTATAGCACAGGGAACTATATTCAATTTCTTGTAATAAGCTATAATTGAAAAGAATCTGAAAATATACATATATATATACATATATATGTATTATATGTATAACTGAATCACTTTGCGGTACACCTGAAACTAACATCTTAATCAACTACACTTCAGTAAAAAATAAAATTAAAAAAAGAAAAAATAAATAAAGAGTGGACCTTTGAAGTCTGCTTAGTCTGCCATGTTGCATTTTCTCTGATGTTGCCGGAAGTTCTCTTTGGCTCTCATTATCTGAGAGTGAGAGGCAGTTTGATGTATTGAGATGAGTTTTCATTAAATTAAACCCTAAATGTCCTCACTGCTTTGCCTGATGTCTGCCCCGCACCAGTGTTATCCTATCTTCTGGGCTTCTTCAAGCTGATTTCTAACCAGATGGGTCCACCTCCTCACACTCCTAGATCAGAGGGATTGCTTTGGGCAACCTCTGGGTCACATGGGCAGACTCACAGAAGATGGTGAGTTCAGAAACCAGCACATGTTCCTAGAGATTCATGAGACAGGTAGATCCAGAGGAATGAGAGATAACTGCCTTTTTTCCCTAGCTGCGACGAGGAGGAGTCACAAAGGAAGAAATCCTTCTCCTTGAAGGACCAAAGTTTATGGTTTTAAAACCATGAGCCAGTATATAGGGGACTGACTAAGCCAAGGTTCTCACCATCAACAGGTGGCCATCATCAAGTTTGGGGGAAAAGTGACAAGAAAATGCTGCCCAGGGATGTTGACATTTCTGCTCGGACTTGAATCCACTGGTGGACCATCTCCCATCCCTCTCTCACTCTCTGCAGCCCTGCTGAGCCAAAGTCTGAAAACTATCTGTTTAGGCTTAAGGTTCAAGTTCTATACCTTACTTAATGTAGGATACATACATCCCAAATCAAATCAAATTCAAGTAAAGTGTATTTCTGCCTGGGTTGAGGAAAAGAAAAGCCTGCTCAACAAAGAGGGCACTTGGAGGGTTAAACCTACTGAGAAGGGAATATTTCCTATTTAAGAAAGATCATTGACAGAATGGACTCCTCATTGCTCTCTTGATTCCCTTTTTTGACCTTGCATAATGCAGCCCCCATATTATGCAGTCTGCTGACAGCGTTCTTTCACCCATAGTTTCTTTTTTTCTCTCTCTCTGCTTCCAGACATTCAGACCAACAGGGCTAGAGACTGCTGAAAAAGCAGAGATTATGCAAAAGGGAGACACCGAGATTTCACATGACAGGAAATTCAATCTGACGTTACTTACTGTTAGGCTGACACCAGTCAGGTGACAGTCCTTGTCTTCATATATTGCGTAATAGTACGCCGAATAAGGCAAGGAGGATGGATAATCCTGTTTTGAGTCACAGAGTTGAGAGACAATGCTCAGGGCTCCCAGGCTGTTAGCGAGGAGGAGGAGACCTGCTCCAGCAGCAAGAGAGCTCATTGCATTGGAGGTCAGGCTGCTCATGACCTGGAAGAGAAATTCTGCATTGGGATCTCATCACAGAAGCAGCATGTAATGCTATTATCTCTCCATCCATTGCACTGCATTGGTGCTTCCCTGAGTCTGTTTCCCTCCAATCTGCATCCTCCTAGGGCACACAGACTGTGTTTTATTCACCTCTGTATCCCAATCCACTACCTAGTTTATCACCTGATGTATTTAGTAAATTTGTTAAATGAGAAAATGTACGAATAGTTCTTCCTTAGGGCTAGGGGTCTGGCTTGTTGACTCTCTGAAGCGCTGAAGACAGAGGTGGGTGGGACTGCTCAGGGTACTGCCAACATCTCCCTTGACTTCTTCAACAGCTTTAGAATCATTGTTTTGCTCTAAGGGCTTCTGGAATATGGCCTTCGATTCCTCCTAGGAAGACCAGTCTATGGCTTCTCGTTCCATAAAGCAGCAGCTTCAAAGAAAAGGTAGAAGCTAACTGGGAGACGTTGGAATACCCGCCCATAGGTGGATCAAGCCTGAGAAGCAGCGTCATCACATGCTCTCCTGGGTCATATTCTGCATTTAGGGGGAAAGGGCTCTCACGGGACATGATTCCTCTGCAAAGAAACTGATGTGCCAGGCTCCAGGCCAGGTTCCCGGCACACGCTCTTTTCTCTTTGAACATCATTGTGGGAGACTGTGTGTCGGGCAGGATGGTTGCCTTGCCCTCTGATCTCTTGGCCTTGTAGCTGGATGGCTTCAAGTGTTGAGTCCTTGAAGGGAGAACAAGCTGAATGGGCAGTGCCTTTGCCCAAAGTAGCCATGTGGGCAATGGAGCCCACATACTGTCTGGGCTCCACATGTGGAGCCCACGTTGTGACAGGTCATCCCAACTATGGTTTTCCCTTTCAGTGTGTTCAGGGCACTTGGGAAACCACCTCTGAGATCTTCTCCCACCTCTTCTGCATTTTGTAAATGAGAAAACTGAAGCCCAGAGAAGGAAGGAACTCTTTCAAGCACAAGCTGTGTCAGTGACAGAGCTGAAATGGAAGTACCAGTTTCATGATTCCAAGGCCAGAACCCTGACTCTATCCAATGCTGTGAACTCTTCAAAACCCTGTCCTCTGCTTCTGGGGTTAAGGCTGTAGCATCAAGCCTCAGGAGCCTATACTAGCCTCATGCACTATCTGATGTGCCGTCATCCATGGCTAACCAGACCTTGGATCTTCCTGAGTCAGGATGTGGCTTTTCCCTGGGTCCTTTTTGTGGGTGTGTGGCAGAGGAGAGGGAGGGGTTGCTATGGAGAGGATCAAAGACCTCAGCTTTGTCAGGGAAGTGGCTCCAGTCTGATAATTCCTTGTCTCCGAGGGGTGGAGGAGACAGCCACAGGATCTAAGCCCACGTACCTCTGCATCCAACGCTGCCGTTTAGGGAAATTATGAGGCAGGGTATTCTAGAAAAGGACCTCGAGGCTCTAGCTGGGGTGGTCTTCTACCCCATTCAGGGCCAAGATAGCAAGTTGTAAAGAGTTCATGGTATATTTAAACATTCCAACTGTTCAAGCACCTGAGGTAAACGTCCCCCAAGCTTAGACTATGATCCAGGAGAGCCATTTTGTAGGAGGAAGAGCCCCAGTCTGGAAGGGAGGGCATTTGGGTTTACTCCTGGTTCTGCCAGTGGACCTGGGGGAGAACCTGGGTGGACAGCCTCACTTGCTCTGAGCCTTGTCTCCCTAAGCTGTCAAACGGAGATGTTTGAACTTGAGGAACAAATTATGTCATCCGCATGTAGGGACACTTTTACCGCTTCTCTTCCAAGTTGGGTCCCTTTGATTTCTTTCTCTTGTCTAAATGCTATGGCTGGGATTCCAGTACTGTACTGAGTAGAAGTGGTGAGGGCGGGCATCCTTGGCTTGTTCTGGATTTTAGCGGGAAGGCTTTCAACCTTTCACCCCTGAGTATTATGCTGGCTGTAAACTGACCACACTTCAATAAAAATAAAAAGAATGGACTAGGAATCTAGTCCACAAACCTGTATTTAATGATATAAAGTAAGTAAATAAATCAGAAGTTCCTTTTATTCTAACCCACTAAACTTGATGATTCTCATACTTACAAAGGGCTTGGTTGACTTTTTCCCAGAGATAATTGAGAGGGATCCAGAAATGGCAAACTGCTCAGAAAGGAAAGAAATGATCAGTTCAGTTGTCTTGTGAAAATGTACCACCAGGTCACTGTCAGTCACTCAGTCAATATGTACAGAAAAATGATGGGGGTCCATATCAATAGAGAGGCCTGATTTCTGCCCGTGGGATGCTTACACTGACTGTGCAGAGTAGGCCGACACACAGGGGAGCTGGATTTATGTTTGTGAAAATCCCCAGGAGCTGCGGAGGCCTAAAAAGGAGGTGTACATGGAAGGAGGAGAGCAGTGCTAAATCACCAGACTGAAGAGAGGAGGTTGACTTGACCGATGACTTGAAGGGGTAGAAAGATGGGAGCAGCCAACAGAAGACGTAGGAAAGGGCTCTAATGGCACAAGGTGCGGAAACACAGGGTTCAAGCTGTTGGTGTGGGTGGCTGAGTTAGGAGGAAGTGGAAAGATTCAGATGTGAAGAGTGTCTCATCCTGAAGCGCCAGAAGTCTGCGCTGGTTCCCAGTGGTGTTAAGGAACCAGCTGATGGAGGGAGGGTGTTCTGAGAAGCTGAAACACTGGTTAAACTTGTGGCTTCAGGACTGGATAGTCACAGACAAAGAGGGTCAAGCATGAGCCAGTTCCAGCTTTCATAAAAGAGAATGTGGGAGCCCTAACTGCTAGTGAGACAGGGAAGTCAGGGACAAATTCTGCTTTGGAGGCAGGAGCAGGGCCGCCTTGCATCACTGCACAGTTTGTATTCACATGGGGACTGTATCCATACAGAGGTGGTGCCTTGTAAAATTCGTCTGCCTTTGTCTCTAGAATGTGTGCCTTTGTCTCCTTTGTGTAGGATGCTATACATGGGAAAGAAGAGGCTCTTTGTGGGAGGTGTGAGTAGGTTCTGGCTAGTCTCCAAAGACAAGGATCTGTTGGGTCCTTTTTTCATGAGCCATTAGTTGGAAGGCAGCAAAAAAAGAAAGTTTTCCAAATGCTCAAGATTACCTCTGAACACATAGCAAGGGTGCCCCTGCTTCCTGTGAATTTTACTGTTGCTAGTTGAATTCCCTGCAAACCCGTGACATCTACCAGCGGTGCTCATTTTATTTTAAAAATGACCTTTTCACTCTCTACTTGACAGGTGGATTATTCTTAAACTGGAGGGAATTCAGTGGCCTCATCAAAGGGCCAAAGAAGGATATGAAAAATCATCCACTGGTGCAGAAGTTTGCTGTGAGGCCAGGTAAGAAATGCTGTACTCTTGTGCCCGTTGTATTACCCTGTTGCCTCTGGACCCAGCCGGTCACTCCTGGGAGGCTCACACAAAGGATGGATTAAGCCCCCCTGCTGCTTTCCCTGAGCTGGAGAGACATGATGTGGTGGAGGGAACATGGAAGGACTCAGCCTTTTTCGCCTGTCTTCCTGCCTCTTGGGACTGAGTCTCTCCATGACTTAGCAACCAGTCAGCATGTATAAAACATACTCCCTCTGGGAGACCCCACTCTACTCACACACAGAGCTCCTAAAAACGGGTACCCGGACATCACAATGGTGGAAATTGCTGGGTTGAAGTGGGAAGAGTAGGGAGCAGAAACCAAAATGGCACCCAAACTTGAAATCATCAGGCAACACAGGATCTGGATGATCTGCAAGAAACAAGAGGGAGAATTCCAGGGAGCACTTTAAACAGATGAAAGTGAACATTTGAATGCACGCTGTGACTTATAAAGACTTTAAAGTATAAAGTGTGTATGTTATAATTTGTCACATTAAAAAGGAAAACAAAGTGTTACAGGAGCCAATGGTCATTCTCCAAGAGAAAGTCATGTATAACTAACCTCTTTTCTTTTCTGATAGGATTATTAAACTAGCAAATCAGGGAGTGATCATATGTATATGTTAACTTTATTTTGAAAAATATAGTTGACAATTTCTTTTTGTTTTGGTTTTAGGAGAAGTAGATAGAAATTTTCTGGACAATAGTCCAGTTAGATGGATATAGAAAGCAAACTTACCAAAGAAGTGTTAATAAAGAGCTCAATTTCAGTTGAAATAGAAGACAGCAGGAAGTCTGTAATGTCGTAATTCATTTTATCTCATTCATCTTTAGATTTTAATAATAATTACTTTTTTAATGACACCAATGATAGTAGCCTACATTTATCGAACACTTCTTGCATTCTGAGTATCCCTCTTATCTTACTTATGAATGAGAAAAATGATGCACTGGGAGTTTAAATAACCTGTACAAACCCACACCCATGGCCAAGTGGAAGAATTTGGGTTTTACCCCCGTGAGTCTGATCGAGAGCCCACACTCTTATTCACCATCTAATGTATGTGTAATTGAAAGATGATGCAAACATAGATGTAACTTAAAATCAAGAGAAGTCAACTATTAATATTAATTGACCATTTATTGACCATTTTGTGTCAGGCATCAAGGGAGTAAAGCAAATGCAAATCAACTGGCACTGGACATGAATTGTGTCCTTTACCAACCAGTTCCTTGGAAAGCAGAATGAATTAAGAGCAAAGTAGCAGGAGAAGGGGCCTGAGAAGTACTGGGGACATGGTGCAAACTATGTAGGGCGCTCCAGGCTATTTTTACCAACTTTGCCTTTCACTCTGTGTAAAAAGAGAAGCCTGCTGGATAATTTTCATCAAAGAGATTACATGATCTAATTTATGTTTTTAATAGATCATTCTACCTCCTGTGTTGAGAACAGATTGTAAGAAAACAGATCAGGGAGATCAACAAAGAGGGTATTGCAGTAATTCACATGAGAGATGATGTTGACCAGACAGAAGATGTGGATAGCAGAGGTAGTGAGAAGTACTGTAGTTGGATTCCGCATGTACTAGGAAGATGAAACCTACAGGATGTGCTGACAGTTTGAATGTGGTTTATGAAAGAGAGGGATGAAGGTTGCCTCCAAGTGTCCGGGCTTGAGTATCTGAAAGAATGGAGCTGACACTGATCTGAGATGGGGAATATCGTATGAGGAGTGGGCTTGCGGGGAGGAGACTCAAGATTGCAGTCTGGGATGGGTTAAGGAAGAGATGTCTAGCAGATACCCAAGCAGTGATAGGCTTTTGGATATGTAAGTCTTAAATTTGGAGAAGAGACCCAGGTAAGGGATAGAATCTTTTTTCCCCTCAAGTCATAAGAGAAGAAGATTTTAAGTCCATATTATTGGATGAGGTCTTCATTGCAGCAAATAGAGAAAGAGAATGGAATCAAGGACTGAGCTATGGAGCACCCCAAATTTAGGATCAGAGAAATAAATGCAAACAGTAAAGGAACATAAAAGGAGCATCCAAGAAGGAAGGAGGAAAACCAGAATGTGATGCCCAAGAAGCCAAATGAATATAATGTGCAAGGAGAGAGAGGTCAGCTGCACCAAACATTTCTGTTAGTTCAAGAAAGTTAACAATGAAGACTTGGACATTGGGTTAATTATGTGGAGCAAAGGGGACAAATACCATTGGATATGATTCCAGAGAGAATATCATTCAAGAATAACTAGAGACATTGACTTTCTATCCTTCAGAGAAGTGTTGCTGGGAAGGCAAGTAGCGAACGGGGCATTAGCTGGAGAGTGTGTGAAGTTAACAGTATTTGATTTTGCTGTTTCGTTTTGTTTTGTTTTGTCTTGTTTTGTTTTCAGGTAGGAGAAATTGCACTAAGATTCTGTGCTCATGGAGGTGATAAAAAAATTGAAGAGAGAATTACTGGAACAAGTGATAAGGGATAGGCTCTACTGCACAAAGGGAGGAATATCTTCATTAGAAAGTGGACATTTTATTTTTAGTAACAGGAGGAGAGAAAGAATGAATACATGAGCACAGGTGTGGGTAACTGTAGATGTGCAGCAGCCTGTGGACGTTCTCTTCAGATTGGCTCAATTTTCTTAGCATTATAGGAAGCAAGGGGATAAATGGAGAAGGAAGATGCATTAGAGGTTTAGGGGAAAGATGGTGTGAGATGGTTTTCTGGGGTCACAGGAAAGTGAATGGGTGAAAGAAATACCATGTACTTTTAAGGCAGCCTTTACAGTCCATTTGATTTTATGGTCATAAATCAAAAGTGGGGTTTGTGTGTGTGTGTGTGTAGGGGATATTTGTATGTCTTCAGCCAAGATTAGTTGCATGGACTCAGGTATAGAGTAGGCAAAGGGGCAGTGTTAGAATTAAATCAGTGTCACAGATTTTTTTTTCTTCTGAAGAGTGTTTTATAAGGAGGTGAGGACAAGGCTGTTCAGAGAATTCACAAGGGATCCTGGGATCCTGGCTAGGAGAGGAAGGAAGGCTCTGTGAAACAGAGATATTATCAGTAAGACTCAGCAAGATTAAAGAAAGTTAGCATCAGTGTAGAGTCAGAGGGAATGACCTTGAAAGATTAGAATTGGTAGTTGGAATAAGAGATTCTTGAAATGTTACAGTGATGTTTTTACTGCTGTTAGTATTGATAAGGTCCAGGGTATGACTCAGGAAATGTTTGTCTAAGGAAGGATGGACTAGAAACGCTGTGAGAAGAGGTCCAGGAACTGAGAGGATACTGGAAGGATCTTACACATGAAGACTGAAACAGCCAAGGCGTCTGATAGAAACTCTACTGGAGGGAGTGATAGCCATTGAACAGTCAGTATCTTGAAGGGGAAAAGGTGAATTACCTGGGAGTGAAGAAGTAGGAATTCACTGAAATTGGTCTCTGTCTCTCCAATATACCGTAAAGAGTATGAGAATGGGGCTCTTCTATTTTTTTTTAAGGCTCTTCTTCTTTTAACTGTGTAGTTCATGATTAACCAAAGTGTGTAAACAGTGGCTGACACATTGGAGGTGCTCAAGAAATGAGAGATGAATGTATGAATGAATATCTTACTGATTGCTGAAGCAAGCAATGAAATGTGTGACACTAGGCTACCTGTAGGCGAGATTATAGGACCCATGGGCAAAATCAACAAGGTGTTTCAGGGACAAAGACAACTCAGCCTGGAACTAGTTATCTGAAGGAAGTAAATTAAGGAGTGAGTATTGGTAAATGATAGTAGAATGACAAACATTAATTGGTTTTATTTTCAAGCAATATATTCACCAGTTTTTCTAAGGATGAACACTTCAAATTTTCCAATACATAATTTAATGTTATTTTCTAAAACACTGCTTATGTTTAGGTTTTTAAACTAAATTTGATCTTCTTAAATTTTAATTCTATCAATTCTCAATTATTCCTAATACTAGAATTACCTAAAAAGACCTTTTGGCATTCACGACTGTCTACAATTACTTGAAATACTTAATTCTCTTCCAGTGTTTGAAACATAAATAACATTTTTAAAATATATTTTTTGGGTGGAAGATTGAATAGGGATTTTTTAAAATAATAAATAGAAGGGACAGCTGCATTTTTTTTTTAAACGTGGGAGTGAATTACCTAATAGGGTGACGTGAGATTCTAAAGTAGGAGTTTTTAGAGATGAGAGGAAACGACTGATCTAGAAGTCTCCATGAGAAGCAAAGGAAATATTGCCTTCACTTCCATGCCTACTAGTGAGGACGGCGGTGAAAACTGTGCCCTTGGGAGCTAGATTTCTGTTTGCACCATAGATGAAGAGGCCTTGAGAAGCAGACTGGGGAATAAAGACGAAAATGCTGTTAACAAACCCTGAATTGCAGTAGGTACAACTGGGCGGGTTTCCCAATTTGGGAACGAGTAGGAGTTGGGTCTTAAAAAGGAATATTCAGGACCATGTGGAAATTAAAGTCCTGGATATGATGGATGGTGACCTAGGACATCTAGGTGTCTCATAGGTACTCAGGTGAACAGGGAGAAAATGAATCATAAGATGAGTCCGGATTGTCCCACTTCCAAATGTTTAAGAAACATGCTCCAGAAACTGACACATTGTAACGAACTATACTTCAATTTAAAAAAAAAAAAGGAATGCTACAGAAAAAAAAGAAATATGCTCAAAATAAGATCTAATTTAACCATATTGAGTAAAATCATATGGTGAAATCCCAAATCTCTACTATGTTAAAGACTTTACACGAGACCTTATTGTGTAGATTTCAGGGGCAAAGACCTAGTGGTTTTAGTTAGTTTAGAGACGGGTCTGGAAGATACAGTCTTCCTATAAACCCCATTTCATGTCCCAACTAACTTGGAGTCAGGAAAAAAAAAATGATAGAGTCTCCCACATCCACTGTCGATCCATAGTCTGGATATGTTCATGACATTTCCCCCCATGTTCCCCTGAGAAGGAAATGAACTTACTCCAAGAACTGTGGCTTCTTTTTGCAGACTATCCTGTGGGTTATCTTCTTTTTGGTAGATGTGCCCAGGTTTCTCTCCCTCAGAGATAATGATGCCCTTTGAAGTGAAGGCATCAAAGGCTCCCTTGGTCTTGAGCTGTGACATGATGCCCATGTTGCTGAAAAAGGCAGTGAACTCCATTGGGACCCACAGTTTGACTTAAAGATCTGAAACTCTCAGGACCAGACTTTGCAGAAACTTACCATTTTTCTCCATTGTCCAAGGGGTGACCTGTCCTTTAGGAACAAAAGTGAATATGAGGAGCTGGGGAAGTATTGGAAAGATGGTGGGCTTGGCAAAGTCCCTCCGTTGTGGATGGGAAGTCTGTCACTAGGAGAAAACTGTAAACATTTTGAGGAGTCCCACACTGGAGAGGCCAACAGTTCACACAAAGCTTGCTCTGCAGCCTTGAGTGTATCCACCTTCCTCCTCCCTCCCTGCTTCCAGCTTCCCCTCCTCACCCCTGTATCTCTGCTTCATCTCTGGGACACTCCCAACCAACCACATCTCTCAGTTTTGCACTTTCATGTTACACCTATACTGCTCAGTCTCCCAGCATAGTCTTATTTTCTTTCCACTAAGATGTCGATTAATCCTATTCCACGTCCCTTTCCTATAGATGGCCTGTTCCACCTAGAATGACCCCTCTTGCCTATATTAGCTTAATAATTGTTAATACAAACATTTATTTAACTCCTGCTTAATTTCAGGCACTAGGCCATAGTAGCGCTAATCCTTACAACAATTTAGATATTATTAAATCCACTTTATACATTAGAAACTCAGGACTAACAAGTTCAAGTGATCTTAATTTAAGGAAATAGTCACCCAAAGCACTTAGCCTGGCACTCAGCAAGTGTTGAATACGTAGTAGCAAATGTAATTATTATTGACTTGTATTCTCATAGAAAGTGGAAAGTGTCTGAATGAGGATATCTGGTTCAGAGCCTTGTGTTTTTTTTCTCAAGACTCCATTAATTCTCTTCCTCCCCTGTCTGTCTTCCTACCATTGGCAGTTTCGGTGTAGACTCAGAGAGAAAGCTGTCTGCTGTCCACCAGCCTCTGTGGGGTCCACAGCGGAGTCCAGCCCCGGGGCTGCTCCCCAGACCTGTACTCAGAACAACATTCTCCCTCTTGAAGGTCACAGTTTGGATAAAGTCTTGTGATTATCTGATAGTGCCACAGCTCTATTCCCTGATGCTTCACTTCAGTGTCTTGGGATTTTAGGAATGGTCCTAGGTTCTCTTGGATGGCGTGCATAACACATCAAGATTGGAACCAGCATCCACAATACCGTTACTGGGAGGGAGGTGGGAAGAGGCACTGGGCTGGGCGTCCGATGCCCCGGCATCCAGCTGTGTCTCTGAGCATGTGTCCTGGAGTCCAGTCCTATGCTCATGTTGTATACCTGCCAGTGATTCCTAAACTCATTGTAGGCAAGTTATTTTAGCCATTTCATAGGTACATGGTGCACGTAATGGGCACATGATAAACTCTCAATGCAGAGCAGTTCTGTCTAAAACTCACTGGAACTCCAGCTCTGACATTTATTAGCTGGCCATAGACAGGTCATTTCCCCTGATTCATCCTCAGTTTCACTACACATAAAATAGGGATAACACTGCTCTCACGAAGGACCCCTGTGAGGATGCACTTGAGGTGAGGTACGTGTCGGCCTTCTTCCGTGCCTCTGTGATCTTTATCAGGTGCGCACAATACTCAGTAAGAAGTTCATGACATCTACCCCATTTCTATTCCTGGAGCTATGCCTTGGTCAAGTTTCTCTTGCTCTTTGGGCATAAGGCACCTTCTTTGAAGAGTTGTTGAAAAATAAAGCTATTGTGGTCTAAGGAGGATCTAGTTCTCGTTTCTGTGAGTGTTTGCCATTTGGGCAGAAGTATGGGTGAGGTTACATGAACGAGGATGGGAGTAGTGTTGACACTGAGTCCCGGCAATAGGGCCCCCGTGTCCTTCCTCTTTTACAGCTGCAGTCCCCTGACCACCCCTCATCAGCTCCTCCTCGCCCACAGGAGCATTCCTGGCCTTAGAGAATGTGGGTTGATGTTCTCTCTCTCCAGAATTGTTCCCATATTCTGGTAACTTGCCTTCTGCCTGGCTCCTCGTGGGTTTAATAGGTTCAATTTTATTTAAAAATATGCCAAGTAGAACCCTTCTTTTTTCTAGTCTTAATAATCAGTCTCTCAAGGTTCATCCAGATTGTCACATATTGCAGGATTTCCTTCTGGTTTAAGGCTGTTCTTGCAAACAGTGTGCTGAGTGAAACAAGCCAGTCACAGAAGGACAATTATTACATGAATCAACTTTCATATGATCTCTAAAATAGTCAGACTCCTACAAGCGAAGACTATCATGGTGGTTGTCAGAATCTGGGGAAGAGAAAACGGGGAGTTGCTGTACAACACGTATAAAATTTCAGTCATCCTAGTTAAATTCCAGAGATGTGCTGAGCAACCTTGTGCCTGCAGGTGCCAGTCCAGTGTTGTGCATCTCAAAAATGTGTCCAAAGGGTAGCTCTCATGTTACTTGTTCTTCCCAAAATAAAAAATGAAAATAAAATTGGGAAGAAAGGGAAAAAAAAAAGACTGACCCTCAACTTAAAGATTGTTTTTGAGTCTCTGTAGTCCTGGATTCCTTCCTGTATTTTTCCATTGTCCTACCTGAGGACTACAGGATGTGCTGGATTCTAAGCCTGAAGCTAGAACCTGGAATCCTAGTTGGTACCCTCTTCCTCACATCACTCCCGTATACTATGTATGTTTACTTTCTTTTATTACTTTTTCATCATCTGTTTTGTTTAAAAGCGTGTGTAGCATAACAACGCAATCAAAAAGGGAATAAGGTTTGCTGAAGGCAGCAAACTTCCTTAAATTTCAGCTACCACACGATAACTACTGTTTCATACAGATTCTGCATGCTCTCTCTTTAAAAAAAAATTGATGGGGGAAGTAATTAGGTGTTTGTTTATTATTTTTTAAATGGCAGTACTAGGGATTGAACCCATGACCTTGCTCATGCTAAGCATGTACTCTACCATAGAGCTTCACCCTCCCTGCCTTGTACATCCTCTTTTATCTCCTCTCTCATGCTGTCTCTCTCTCTTTTTTCTTTTATGTTTTATACATATTCTTCATTCTGTATAAACAAAGTCATTCTATCCATGCCATTTAGAAGTCTTCTTGCGCTCCACATTATTCTGTGGACATCTTTTATGGTAGTGAACATACATAATAAAAATCCTACATTTGAGAGCCAAATGGTAAATTCTGACACATGCCACCACATGGATGAACCTTGAAGGTAATATGCAAAGTGAAATAAACCAGTCGCCGAAGGACGGGTATTGTATGATTGGACCTCTGTGAGGCACCCAGGGTACTTAAATTCACAGAGACAGAAAGTAGAATGATGGTTACCAGCGGCCGGGAGGAGAGGGGAATGTGAGGTCTTGTTTAGTGGGCACGAAGTTTCAGTTCGGGAAGATGAAAAAGTTGTGGAGTTCAATCGTGGTGAAGGTTGCACATGAGTGTGAATTATTAAATGCCATTTAAAAATGGTTAAAATGCTAAATTTTGTGTTATGTATATTTTACCACAATAAAAAGAGCCAAACATGTATTCAAATGACTAGATGTCTCAAGATTGATTTAACCAGTCGCATATTCTTGGTGATTTACGTTGCTTCTATTTTGTTCCCATTACGAACAGCACTGTAATGAATGTCTTTGCCCCTTTGTGGTGCTACATCTACTCCGCTACCTTCTTAGAGTGAGGTTTAGAAGTGTAGTATCTAGTGAGTTTAAACCCATAATACGTAAAGACACATCTTGCTGATTTTTAGGAGAAATTCTGTATAACAGAGATTCTTATGTGGCTTTGCAAGAAGGCTCCAGGCTGATGTCATCTCTAACTTCCACGGTCTGAGAGGGAGCGTTTGTCCTTCCACATTCACCAAGAGAGACACACTCGAGGTGCCTCACAACATTTCAAGACTGTTCTGAAACCCCCGCTTTGGAGATACATCGTAGCTTGGAGGCCAACTGCTCTGCCCAGAGTGCTTTTCTCTCTTCCAGAATTAAAACAGAGAAGTGGGGCTCCACTGCAGGATTCGATCTAATTGCACAGGTCCTTTTGAGAACGTCTTCTGTGTAAGACCGAGTGACATGCCGGGAAGTGCAGAAAATTGTAGAAAAGCATTCTCCCAAATCTCGAAAGAAGCCTGAGGGTCATTTCACCCAATTCTCTAACTTGGAAAGTGAGTGAACTGAGACCCAGAGGAGCCTCACCAATTCAGGCAGGTGGTCAGCCGTGGAGACAGGATGACGATCTGATTCCTGGCTGTCCATTCAAATGACAGTAACCCCTGCCTCTCACGCCACCCCCACCCCCCCCAATTTATGATCCAAACCAAGGTGCCTACCTGTTCTTGCAGCTCAGTCCTGTGCGTTGTGGCTGGTGGGCCAGCTCGGCTCAGGGGAGCTCTCAACTGGAACTTCCTACCAGTTGTTCCTGCAAGAACGATGTGCTGCTCAGGTCCCCAGCCTCTGAGACTTCCTGTCCCTTTCTCAGGGTGGCGGTGATGATTACACAAGACACAAGTTTTGCTGTGCTTTCAGATAGTTGATATATGAAAAATGCCTCTGCTTCTTCTTTCTGAATTTCAAAGTCTGGAAAATAACACAGAAGAGAAGTAACACATTTAAGAAGACTGATGAGTTTCATGATTCCCAGTTAGACTTCATTTCCCCCCTTCTTTTTTTTTTTACATTTTTTATTGATTCATAATCATTTTACAGTGTTGTGTCAAATTCCAGTGTTCAGCACAATTTTCCAGTCATTCATGGACATATACACACTCATTGTCACATTTTTTTCTCTGTGATTTATCATAACATTTTGTGTATATTTCCCTGTGCTATACAGTGTAATCTTCTTTATCTATTCTACAATTTTGAAATCCCAGTCTATCCCTTCCCACCCTCTACCCAGCCCCCCGGTAACCACAAGTCTGTATTCTCTGTCCATGAGTCTATTTCTGTCCTGTATTTATGCTTTGTTTTTGTTTGTTTGTTTGTTTTTGTTTTTTAGATTCCACATATGAGCGATCTCATATGGTATTTCTCTTTCTCTTTCTGGCTTACTTCACTTAGAATGACATTCTCCAGGAGCATCCATGTTGCTGCAAATGGCATTATGTTGTCGGTTTTTATGGCTGAGTAGTATTCCATTGTATAAATATACCACAGCTTCTTTATCCAGTCACCTGTTGATGGACATTCAGGTTGTTTCCATGTTTTGGCTACTGTAAATAGTGCTGCTATGAACATTGGGGTGCAGGTGTCATCCTGAAGTAGATTTCCTTCTGGGTACAAGCCCAGGAGTGGAATTCCTGGGTCATATGGTAAGCAACCTGTGGGGGACTCACTGCCTAATAGTTGCTTCCTTTGGGTGCCTCTTCATTCTCTGGCTTCACATCTTCCTTACTTTCCACTCAGGGAGGTCCAGGCACATCCTGGGAAGAGTGTCAGTGCGCTGGAGTCAGAGGCAGAGCCATCAGGGCTGCATGAGCTTGTACTCCGGGAGGAATGGGCTGCGGAGGGAACATTGTTGCCGCTTTCACATCCTTTTAAGGCTGCTTGGAGAACAGCCTTCGCTCAGAAGTGCAGGGGTTAGGACAGCTCTGGGACGTGCAGCCTGTAGCAACAGCTGACAGCAAGATGTGCCCTGTGCTTTTTCAGTTTCCAGAATGCTGGCAAGGCTGCCCCGGAGAGAGAAGCAAATGTAAGCCAGGGGGCTGTAGGAAACTCATAAAATACTTGGGGAGAATTTTAGTCCAATCCTCTTATTCTCCAAATGAGATGATATTGCTGAAGAAACCGACCACACATCACACACTCTTGTCATTTTGTCATCATCTTCATCCCCACTACCAATGTCCTCTTCATGTAAGAAAACCCATAGGGTCCAGACCTTCCTCTAGGTCTGTGACCTGCTTTGAACAAATGCCAAAGAAGGCTCTTGGTCGTCTTGGATTCTCTCACACCCCTTCTGAGTCTGAGAAGGAATTTGTAGGAAAATCAGTAAAATATCCAGTCAGTTTTCTCATGTATGAAATGATAATCAAAAGGTCTTCAGAGTTTTTGTGAGGATCACGCCATAGAGTCTGACATATGTTAACATTCAGAAGAATCCATATTCCTTGCTGTACATCTTCTCCCATCCCCTTTATAGAAAAGTGCATTTTATCTCTAGAATGATCTCTGGTCTCTGTGTGTAATTTTTCTACATTTACTCTCAACCCATCCTCTTGTGCAATGATTCGAACATACTCAGCCCTTTCTGAGTGCCCTGGTGCTCCGCACTGGCGAGTGACTGACTCCTGGCCCTAAGCCTGCTTTATGGGTGCAGTTGAGGGACTTCCCAGTTCCCCACCTCGCCCTTCGGCTGATAGTGAAGCTAGTAAACGTGGACGTGCGTCTCAGATCTCTACTGACCTTGAACGGAGGTGACTGAGATTTTTTTCTCTAGAAATGGGGGCCGCAGGGTCCTACTGTCCAGGAGCGATTTCCTGGAGCACAGTGCACTGTTCTTTTTGGCATTTGACTTTGGTAATTGACTCCACTCATGTTTTTTTTTTCCCTCTGTTTCTTAGAATCTCACATCACAACAGCAGAATGAAAGCTAGAGGTCCTTGTTGCTTATCTATTTTATATATAGTAGTTAGTATCTGTAAATCTCGAACTCCCAATTTATCCCTTCCTGTCCCTTTCCGCCCTTAACCGTAAGATTGTTTACTATGTCCGTGAGTCTGTTTCTGTTTTGTAAATAATTTCATTTGTGCCTTTTTTTTTAAGATTTCACATATAAGTGATGTCATATGGTATTTTTCTTTCTGTTTCTGGCTTACTTCACTTAGAATGGCGATCTCTGAATGCCTTTTCTGTGCCAGACTGTTCTCTAGGGGATGTGTTACCTACTGAATGTTTGTGGTCCCCAAATTTATATGTTGATGACATTAGGAAGTGGGGCACTTGGGAGGCAATCAGGTTTAGATGAGGTCATGAAGGTGGGGTCCTCATAAAGCGATTAGTGTCCTTGAAACTGAGGAAGAGACCAGAGCTCTCTCTTTCTCTGCCGTGAGAGTTCTTCTTTAGTATTTTATAAAACCAGAAAGTAGCAGTGAATGGCTGTGGGACCATTTTACCATCACTTTGCAGACATTATTAAGATACATATGGGAGAATTTTATATTTCATTTTTAAACACATAATGCCTATGTTATATCAAATTTTAATGGCATTTTAAAAGACCAAAATTTACTCATCAATTTTTTTTCCTCCAATTTTGGCTAACCATTAATTTTGAGTATAAAAGGTAAATATCTGTAGGAAATAAATCAAAACTGATCATTGTGTCTCATCACAACTGATTCAAGCCCCTGAAGCTGATAAATGCTTATCAATTATGAACAACAGAACTTGTTTTAAAACAACTCATTCTTCCCACCACGGTGCTAGTTTTCAGTCTTCAGTCTGCATAACCAGTATGAAATGGGCTTCTTACCAGTTAGCAAACTACTGACTTTACCCTCACTGAATAAAGGATTTCCTCTGGGATGTTTCCTCACTGATCACATGTAGAAACACACAAACTCAGCTTTATTTACTTATTTATTTGGGGTACACTCTAGTGATTTTTATTTTACTCTGACACATCAAATCTCAGATAATGGGATTAAAATCTCATGCACCTTCTGATTCCATATACATGTGATTTTGAGAGTCTTCATATTGGTTGAGTTTTAAAAAAGATATTGTTATGAAGTGTCATCTTTCTTTTAAGTAAGTGGTATTCAGACAAAATCTCTTCATCACTAACCGATTATAATCATGCTAATTCTTGTCATGTGTCAACTAGATTTATTGTTTCAGATGTTTATTTATTTAAAATGTAATGATTTTTCATTTAAATTACATTTATTTGTGGTTACCTTTCGTTGTAACAAATAGTACTGCAGAAAAATTGCACAGTGATGGCATTTGTTTTATTTTTAAATGCATTTATTTAAATAGAAAAAGTGGGTTAGTTAAAGTAAGTAAGTAATGGTTACAACTGGTTTACAGTTACGGTTCTGTAATTATAAAATTTGGGGGTAGAGCACTTTTTCTAAAATAGGGCACTTCAAGAAACCCAATTTTTTTAAAGGAGCATCACATGGAGTTAAGGAGTTTAATGGCTCAATTCCAAAGCATGAATATATGCAGTGTGGAGAACAGAAAAATAATGTAACACTTTTTCTCATGTTTGGGTTTTCAAAATCATTGCAACTTTACTTGAATAAGTGGGACTCACAGAATCCAAAGAAAACCACCTTATTCTTTCCCCACAACTGTCCTTTCTAAAAATTCTCAGTGGAAGTAGCTCTCCTCAGCTTCTTGTTTAAAATCTGAGATAAATAATCATCAGCAAGTGAAGAGTTCCCCAGTCACTTCAGTAGTTAAACTGTACAGTCTTCAAGACATGAGAGCAACCTGAATGTCCACTGACAGATGAATGGATAAAGAAGATGTGGTGGGTGGATGTGTGTGTATCTGTGTGTGTGTGTGTGTGTGTGTGTGTGTGTGTGTGTAGTAGTATTACTTACCAGCCATAGAAA